TAGCAGCACATACTCACCTTCATTTGCTAGTCCATGAAGCAGCCAAGAGAAAGGAAAAATATCTGAAATGTCTAAGTATAGGGAAATATGGACTTCTAATGCTTCTCCACACACCTAGGCCTTTGCTGGCTCCTCACTAATACATTAGGGTGTGGCGAGATTCCTTAGGCCTATCAGGTCATGTGTTGGAGCTTACACAGGGCTTCCACTTTTCATGCCCAGTGGCCAGAGTGGAGAGGAACCGAAGGAAAGGTGAGTATGTGCTGTTTATGATAGAGGTAACTTATAGAAGAACTCCAGGGAAATATAATATACAGCTGAACTGTATATGTATGTATATGTATAACATATATATATATATATACCTATATATGTGTGTGTTTTTATATATATGTGTGTTTATATATATATATATATATATATATATATATATATTGTGGCAATGCGGTATCCTGCCATGGTGATAGTCAAGGTTATAACCCAGGATCTTCACCCATACAGGTTGAAGGGCTCCAGGCAGTTCTCTTAATGCAGAGGAAACTGGTTTGTTAGTTTCCTTTGGTTTGTAAAGCCTGTTTTGGGACCTATGGTCTGGAGATTTCTAAGTGATTTGGGAGGGATGAAATCTCCATTCCTGGGTCCATGTTTTGAAAACAGCCAGCACACTGATTGCACAGGTCTGTGCAGGCCTTTTTTTAGAGGCCTAACCAGGGTTCTGGGCTCTACCGCGGCAGACAGGAGGTCATTGCCCTGGAGTAAGGAGGTCTCCACCTAGGAGAGGTGGAAGCCAGAGCAGCAAGGGGGCTGCAAGCTTTGTACAAGTGGCTGATAGCTGTGTGCAAAAAGCCATATTTTGGAAGGAGGCTGTGTGCATTCAAGGAGTCCAACACTGTGTGCTGGGACTAGCCAGTGGTCTGGGAGACCCATATAAATGGAGGTACTGATAACCAGCAGGGCTGATAAGAGAGCCAGGAGGCTGAATATTTTATTTGTTTTGAAGATGAACACCCCTGCCTGGGAAGCATGTTGTGGAACTTTTAAATAAAATGGGCTAAAAGGCCTTTTAAAAGGAATAAAGCGAGTGGCTGTGTGCAGGAAAAACTCTACCATTTGATGCTAGTTCTCACTAATTATATATATATTTGTGTGTATGTAAGTATAGTGGCAGGGTGAGGCCATGCTATTGTGTGCTAATGCAGTCTGGGTCAGGTTTTGGAGAAAACAGACCCACTAATGGCACAGGTGTGTGCTGTTCTTTTAGTAGAACTAGGATTAGAGGTCATTGCCCCACTGTCCCGAGGGGGTCAGTGATGGTAAGGGAGCAGAGAGGTGCATGCCAGCACCATACTGTCTGGTTTTAAATTTTTTTTACAAATATCTGAAAAGTGTGGCATGCATTTGTATTAAGCCCTCTTTTACTCTGATACCTCTAACTAAAATCTAGTGGAACCAATTGCCTTCAGAAGTCATCTACTTAGTAAATGGAGTCCACCTGTGTGTAATTTAACCTCAGTATAAACACAGCTGTTCTGTGAAGCCCTCAGTGGTTTGTACATTAGTGAGTAAACAGCATCATGAACACAGCAGACAGAACAGGGATGAAGGTGTGAAGAAGTTTAAAGCAGGGTTAGGATATAAAAAAAAAATCCCAAGTTTTGAACATCTCACAGAGCACTGTTCAATCCATCATCTGAAAATGTAAAGAGTATGGAACAACTTCAAACTTACCAGACATGGCCGTCCACCTAAACTGACAGTCTGGGCAAGGAGAGAATTAATCAAAAAAGCAGCCAAGAGGCCCATGGTAACTCTGAAGGAGCTGCAGAGATCCACAGCTCAGGTGGGAGAATCTGTCCACAGGACAACTATTAGTCGTGCACTCCACAAATCTGGCCTTTATGGAAGAGTGGCAAGAAGAAAGCCCTAAGAATTTCCGTTTACAGTTTGCGAGAAGCCATGTGGGGGACACAGCAAACATGTGGAAGAAGGTGCCCTGGTCAGATGAGACCAAAATTGAACTTTTTGGCCTAAAAGCAAAATGCTATGTGTGGCAGAAAACTAACACTGCACATCACCTTGAACACACCATCCCCACCGTGAAACATGGTGGTGGCAGCATCATATTGTGGGGATGCTTTTTTTTAAGCAGGGACAGGAAAGCTAATCAGAGTTGATGGGAAGATGGATGGAGCCAGATACAGGGCAATTTTACAAGAAAACCTGTTAAGAGTCTGCAAACGAGGGAGAATGGGGCAGAGGTTCACCTTCCAGTGGGACAACAACCCTAAACATACAGCCAGAGCTACAATGGAATGGTTTAGATCAAAGGATATTAATCTGTTAGAATGGCCCAGTCAAGGTCCGGACCTAAATCCAATTGAGAATCTGTGGCAAGACTTGAAAATTGCTGTTCAGACGCTCTCCATCCAATCTGACAGAGCTTGAGCTATTTTGCAAAGAAGAATGGGGAAAAATGTCCCTCTCTAGATGTGCAAAGCTGGTAGAGCTATCCCCAAAAAGACTTGCAGCTGGAATTGCAACAAAAAGTGGTTCTACAAAGTATTGACTCCAGGGGGCTGAATACAAATGCCACCACACGTTTCACATTTATTTGTAAAAAAAAAATTGAAAACAATTTCTCATTTTCCTTCCACATGACAATTATGTGCTATTTTGTGTTTGTCTATCACATTGTATCCCAATAAAATACATTAAAATTTTTGGCTGTAACATGACAAAATGTGGAAAATTTCAAGAGGTACGAATACTTTTTTTTTCAAGGCACTGTATATAGGCTGTACTACAAACGTGGGCTTTTATTTTTTCTATTAATTTACATAGGTCATTCAAATGTCACATGTTGGTAGAGAAGTGGGGGGAGGACAACGCTGTTTGCTTAAACTAATGCTGACTACCATGTTGTCTTGCCTTTGATGGGAAGCAAAGATTTCACCAGGGGTAGGAGGGTTTTATAAGGATTTGCTGCCTTCTACTGTCTGTGTTTGCAAATGTCTGTAAATACAATAAAGGGCTGTACTGAAAGCAATGCAAAATAAGTGGTCATAACTTTTTTTTTATTAACTTAAATAGGTCATTTAAATTTCACATGTTGGTAGAGGAACTCTTTCTCTGTACTAACTCTTCCTCTTTTTTTTATTGCAGGTAAATAATTAATTTCCAAGCAGAAGCAACATGCTGCCACTGAGTTCTTGAAAGAGAAGGCTGCAGGCTGTCAAACATTCATGGATGGCTGCAGAATGTTTATGGAGATGCCATCATTGACAAGAGTCACCAATGATGAGACATTGCTCTTATCAATGGTTTCATCTCTGTTTTGTAGCCTTCTGTGGGTGTTGGGTAGCCTGCACCCCTCCTTAGTCAAGAACTCAATGATGGCATGTTGCTTCTTCTTGAAGTCCATCATTTACCTGCAGAGAACAAGAAGAGTTACTATAGAGGATGAGTTACTCAACTAACGTGAAATTTGAACAACCTATTCCAGGGTCCAGCAATGTACTCATCCATACCGCCCCTCTCCTTTTCTCCACAGTGCTGGCATCTCTACTGTGGGCACCAGGCTATGACAGCTTGCGGCTTCACAGCCGGGTGCCCACTGCGTATGTGCGAGTCGTGCTGCACATCCTGATTGGTCCAACAGTCTTCTGGGACCTGTGAAAGTTCCAAGGAGACTGCGGGCAGTGAACTAAGGAGGAAGTGGGAGCGAGTACATGTCAAAACTAGATAAATAGGTATGCCTTATATAGGGGAATGTGTTTCATCTCTGTATCATCTGAGGATAGCCACTTCAATGGGTGTATGTAAGGGTTTACAGCCACTATAAAACTGTGTTCATACAGTTGAGTGTCAGACCACATTACATTTCTTTAGCCCTACCTGAGTGTAATGTCCGACCTCTGCCCCATTCATTGTTCCAAATCCAAACTTAAAATCCTCATATTCACTGAACCAGCTGTCAGTCACAATGTCCCAGGTCATTTTGTATGCTGACAGAAATATATTTTCACCACACCTCATACCTAATAACAGACAATGAAACAGAAGTTAATGACAGAACTCAAAATATCTTCCCTTTTTTTGGTTTGGGTTCTTTGGTTTTGAGAAGTTTGTATTCAAGAAGTATGGAGAGGCTGCTTTAGTTGACTTCCCCTTTATATCAATCATATTATATAGCTTTTGCTATTATAAGATCACTATTATGAGCCTGGCTACAAATGCACAGCAATTCAGGGCTTAGATTAACACCCCCCACAGGGCCCCACATGACCAACCTGGCAGCCCCCCCCCCCCAAACAAAAAACAGTTTGTTGCTTCAGTTATGAGTGGATACAGTGAGTGATCAGTACCAATCACTTGTGTTCATATAGGAAAGGAAGGGGCTGGTAAATGTAACATATTTACCAGACCCTTCCCCCACCCTCTGTCCTGAAGGATCCCATTGTGTGCTTGAAACTGGCGGTAGGAAGGAGAGGAGGGAAGCCAGCAGCACTGTGGGGGAACACAGTGGGGGCCTGAGCAGCAGGGGGAAATATATGGTGCTTAGGGAGGGTGATGGGTGAGCCGGTGGGGACAATTACTGGAACCGATCCCCTGTATGGCTCTCTCTGCAGCAGCTGAAAGCCAGTGGGAGGGAGAGGCAAAGAAGCCAGTTTTCAGCTGCTGCAGAGAGAGACATACAGGCGACCGGTTTCAGTAATTGCTCCCCCTCCTCACCATGCTGATCACCCTCCCTGCCCACATCTGATTCACCCAGCTTCTTGGGCCCCCCTGCTGGCCTGGGCCCTATACAGAAGGACTGGTGGTTCCCCCGTATCCATGGCCCTGGACACCCCTTAATTACTAATGAGTTAGCAAATAAAATTTTTTTTTCAGGGGTGAGAGTAATTTTGTAATAGAGAGAGGATTGTAGTAATGGGTAATTGGCAATGAACATACTGAAGAGACTGCTGGTGACCGGAGGAGCTGGCTTCATAGCATCACATATGATAATTTCTCTGGTTGAAAGCTATCCGGAATATTTAGTAATAAATCTAGACAAGCTCGGTTACTGTGCTAGCTTGAAAAACCTTGATTCAGTTTTGGATCAGCCAAACTACAAGTTCTTACAGGGAGACATCTGTGATGTGCAGTTTTTAAAACATTTCTTTGAAGTAGAATGTGTAGATGTGGTCTTACATTTTGCTGCACAGACCCATGTAGATTTGTCTTTTTCAGATTCCTTTAAATTTGCCTGTTAATACATATGGTACACACATTCTTCTTCGTGCGGTTTATGAAGCCAGGGTTGCAAAATGTATCTACATAAGTACAGATGAAGTCTATGGAAGTAGTCTTGTTGAGAGTGGAGGAGGAATCCCAGGATTGATCTGGACCCAGGAGTCTGATGCCATCGCTTATGTTGATGACAAGCCTTATTGAAACAGTATTGGGGTAATTATTCATTACTACACGAGTTGGAGTGTTGTTTGGTTTGGTGTAGTGGGTTGAAATAACATTATTAAAAGTACTATAGCACTTGTCACTTGAGTGGATCACGATTGTTCATTGCAGTGCTCACATATAGAGTTTTTTTCACGATTTAGGATTTATTTATATATATATAAATCTCTTCTTCTTTTTTTTTCCTCTCACATGCACAGTTTTAGTGTGTGATGTAATTCACAATGAATGGCACTAATTTTCTTTTTGTATAGGGATAATACACTATGTTGAGTTTTTTTGGTTTCTGAGGTTCATGAATATTTGGATATTACACGAAGAGTGAAAATAAGAGAGACAATTTTTGGAAGAAATAATTAGAAGAAAAAAAAGAGGTCTATAGTTTTTTGGAATTACACTTGGGGATATTAATATATTTTATGAATTTTATTTAATTTGGAAAAGAAAAGATTTTATAATTTCTAATGAATATACTATATACTGTCCATGGAAAACTGAATATCTAGAACAGACTAGTGGATTTTCCATTAGCCTTGGCCTTTTGCTTCACCTTTCAATTGCTGATTGACTGGATTTGGGTACACCAGCCACTTTATTGAAAAATCTATATATATTTCAACAAACTACAAATAAATAACATACCCTAAGTAGCAAATAAAACCATACCTAAAACAGTCGCCCCAGTCTTCTGTAGGTCGTCTTTTGAGGGTGTCAGTTTACTACATCCAATAGGAGCTCTCCCCTCTGGCTAAAAGGTTTGTAGCGTTAATGTACGTTACCAATCTCCATTAGCCTAGGGCACCACTCCAGGGATCCCCTTACCCTCTGCTATGGGATCCACATTTTCACAACTAGTCACTGCAACCCCTATATCCCAATACAGCCAGCTGTCATACAAAAGCACCCTTCTTTTACTCTGTATATAAGAAATGAGGGGGTACAACCACTTCTCGCCTCCACACATCCCAAAATGAATGGCCTTACCAACCTACCCAAACCACTTTTCATCTCCACACTCCACTTGACCTACATTAGCAAATCAGTTAAGTCTTTTCCTCACACTACACTTATATTTTTTAGAATGATTTTCTTAATAATTAAGATTCTATATATAAACAATGTTGACATAACAGACTGCAACACATGATTACATGTACTTCAAAAAAGGTTTACTCCATTAGCCTTGGAGCACCGCTACCCCCTGCTATGGAATCCACAATTTTGCAACTAGTTACTGCAACCCCCATCATCTCACTCAGCTTCTATGGAACATCCCTCCCCCCCCGTAAATAAGAAGTAAGAAGAGAGGGGGTTACAAATACCACCCCAAAGTATGGGCTTATGAAAAGCAGTCTGTGAATCCGGAAGGAAGATTAGGTGAAGATGGAAGCTTCTGCAGTGGTGATAGCGTGCCACTGGAGGGCTTTGTTCTCAGGTAAAACTTTCATAGTGTGTTAATATGCAATACATACTAGCACGTTATGCCTTTACCTTGCAGGGGGTTTCTTTTACTTTTACTACCACTTCAAGAATCTGATCCTGTTTTAGATCTACAGACAGCATCAAGTAGCCTCAAGTAGGTTGGATTCTCGTGAACCATCCTCGACCTCACTCCAAGCAGTGGAGGTTTGAATAATGGTTTGGTGCAGTGGGTTGCAGTTTGGGCGTTTTGTGTATCCACTATACCTTTCTTTCACCCCTCAACTTTTTGCCCCCCCCCCTTTTTTTTGCTCCTCTCTTTTCTTTCACCCATCCCCCACCTCAGTTTTGTTGCCTATGCCTTTTTTTTTTTCCCTTTTTCTTACGTTTTACCAGTTTTTTTTTATATACAGGATTTATGTAGCGCCAACAATTTGCTCAGCGGGAGACAATACAGTTTAATACATGATGGTTAGGAGCTTACAATCTAAGAGGGAGGGGCTAGTGGTACAAAAAGGTAGTAATTGTGGGGGATAGACTGATAGGAGGAGTAGAAGATTCCATTATTAGCTGAGGGCAGGATAGGCTTCCCTGAAGAGATAGGTTTTCAGAGATCGCCTAAAAGTGAACAGAGTAGGCAATAGTCTGATAAATTGGGGTAGCAAGTTCCAGAGGATGGGGAAGCTCTGCAAAAGTCCTGGAGACGAGCATGGGAGGAGGAGAGACAAGGGAGCTAGAGAACAGGAGGTCGTGCGAGGAGCGGAGAGGACGGTTTGGGTGATATTTGAAGACAAGATCGGTGATGTAATTTGGGAAAGAGTTATAAATGGCTTTATGTTATTGTTAATGTTTTGAATTTTATCTGTTGGGCAATGGGAAGCCAGTGGAGGGATTGGCAGAGAGGGGTGGCAGATACAGAACGGTTAGTAAGGTGGAAGAGTCTGGCAGCAGCATTCATGATAGACTGAAGAGGGGATAGCCTGCGTTGAGGTAGGCCAATGAGGAGGGAGTTACAATAGTCAAGACGAGAGATAACAAAGGAGTGAATAAGGCAGGCCACAGACGGTTTGTTTATTGGCTGAATTTTGGCCGATAAACAAAAAATCGGTCATTGCTGGCAGCGATGCTGCCACCAATGTCCACGAAAAAACATCAGTTTTTCATGGATTTTCCAACAAGACCAATAAAAATAAATGAGGAGATCCGCAAAACCGACCGACGGGCTGGCCCCACTAACGGCGTGATTATTGGCCGATTTTTCTATGGCCTGCATAAGTTGCTTAGTAGTTTCCGAGGTTAGGAACGGGCGTATCTTGGAGATGTTTCGGAGGTGAAGTCTACAAGATTTGGACAGTGATTGGATTTGGGGCTGGAAGGACAGACAGGAGTCTAGGATTACACCTAGTACCCTGGCATGAAGCGAGGGACTGATGATTGTGTTATTGATCTTGATGGAGAAGTCAGGGGAGGGGGCATGGGCTGGGGAGGAATACTAAGAGCTCAGTTTTGGAAAGATTGAGTTCGAGGAAGTGGAGTGACATCCATGCCGATACGTTGCTTAGTTTATCTAGAGAGATGACCCTTTGCCAGTATATGGACTCCTTTTGGAATGTTACTGACAGGGTACGGCTACTTTAGATCTACTACGCACTGTCTTATGCTTACTTGTGCAACTTAATGTGTTTAGGATTATAACTTTGCCTACAGAACTGTTTTTCCTATATGTTATCTTTGTTACTTTGGCATGTTATATTGTCTTTGGATTTATTATAATGCCATTGTAAATGTGCTGTTTTTTGCTCTCCAATAAAATACTTATGAAACAACAAAAAAAAGTTTACCTTGCATGTTATTGGTTTGTTATATATGCTAGATTTGTTATGTGTAGGACAAGGGATTGTCACTCTGTATTGCCATGATTAGTTATAAACAAAGTCAACAAACATCAAAGTTGTCTAGTATTTCTAAAGGTATTTATATTTTTTTTATATCAATGCACAAATGTATTGCTGGTTCCTTCTATTTTAAACAAGGAAAGCACAGTGGCTAAGCGGTTAGCGCTTTCAACTACAGGAACAGGGATGGTTGGTTCAAATCTCAACTACAGCACTAGCTGTCTGGAATTTGCATGTTCTCCCTGTGCTTGCGTGGGTTTCCTCCCACACTCCAAAGACAAGCTGGTAGGTTAATTTCTCCATGTCTAAATTGGCTCTAGTATGTGAATTAGAGACATTTATTTGTATGCTCCTTGAGGACAGATGTGAAAGTACAATATGTAAATGGATTTATACACTCTATATATACTGGATTCTTTGTTTTTTATACATGGGATTTATGCATTGGATTTCCTTGTGCTTGTAACAAGACATTATATATAACAAGAATACAGAGAAAAGGTGAAATATATGAAGAGATAAGATATGAAGATATCCCTGGAAGTGGGTTTAGAAACGAGTTTAGGAACAACAGAATAATATGGACTTAATCTGAGAAGAGAAAATGTGGAGCGTGGGAGGGAGGGGGGAGGAGGGAGGGGCTAGGGGGATAGAGGGGGGGGGGGCTCTCGGGTGGGGGGCACGGTAAGAAATGGAAGTTATATATAAATAAATTATGAGGAGAAAACATTGTTTTGATAATGATTTTAATAGAAATGTTGAAATGTTTTGTATATGATTTGAAAATTCAATAAATATTTATAAAAAAAAAAAAAATGTAAATGGATGGTGCTATACAAGTACCTGTAATAATGAACTTAATGGGTTGCTTTACAAGTTGAGAGTTCACATATACTTTAACTCTTCAGTGCCTTACTTTCATTGTCCTGTTCATGACACCCCCTACACCAGAGCTTGGGCCTCACTGGAGCTTTACTGAAGTTATACAGTAACAGTCCAGAATTGCAATCAAGCAACAAATCCAATGCCATCCAATTGAATTTTCAGTTTAAATCAGCTAAATTAATTGTAGGGCATCAAAAAACAATGTCTTAAGTTTTCTTTTACAAAACAGCTACAGCCACAGACTAGAAAAGCCTGTCCCTTGCCAGCATGCTGCAGAGAAGAGACACAAGATGCATCTGATCATTTTTTAGATGATATCTGTCTCTCTACAGATATCATAACTCTAGAGGGGTATTTAAAATGTCAAGCTAAGTTTATGACTACAAGGGGTGACCTGGGTTATATGTTTGTATGCATTTGTTCATATGAGTGTGATGTTATAAGGCATTACTTATGAAATATAAAAGAGCTTACGTGGTATATTTCGAGGACTAGGACTATGTCCTTTGATACATTTCTTGGCCCAAGCGAGTGCATTTCTGGCAGCATCTTCATTCCATTGCTAAAAAGACAGATGTTAATTTGTAATATTTTTAATA